ATGTTGAGTGGCGGGAGTTCGATTCTAGGCAGGTGGAAAGGGAATTGAGTGATGTGCTGCAGGTTTCGTTCGAGGCAAAGGTCGATTTAATGACTAATGGCGTAGGCCCTTTGTCGGTTAGCTAGGGCACGCACATTTGGAGGGGAAAGGAAGGAGGGATAATGGGTAGAAGGGAAGAGAAGTGTGCTGCTGGTTTTTGTTCGCGGATACCCAGAGTAGGGAAGGGGCTAAAATACTGCTTGCTTCCACAATGCTGTTATAGTAGAGATGGAGAGGATCTAAGATGCTGCTTTACAGGTAGGATTTGGGGGCAAAGTAGAAAAGGGGGACGAGAATAGAAGTCAGGAACTCGAGATAAGAGCTGAACATAGCAATAAAGAGAAAGAGAAAACAGCACTGCAAAGAAAAGTAAATTAAAGCAAACCTGAGTCTGTTAAACTGAGCCTATGCGAGCAGAAATTGTTCTATAAAAACCTGTCTTCAGTACAGACCTCCCTGTTTATAAAACTAATGATTAGATAAAGCTGACAGCAAATGAGTTCCACTGCAGTATATGAAATAAGCAAAAAGAGGAGTAGACTGGATGCATGGGGATGGAGTCAGCCTATGTTTCTGTGACATTTTGGAGGCAAAAACAAAGATAAGTGTTGTACGCAGTCAGAGGCTGCGGAAGGTAATACATTGAAACTGTGTGGAATCTTTATATAAATCCTATCAAACCTATTCGCTCTCAGCTCCACCTGAGTACCAGCCTCATAAATAGGAAGCCCCCTACTAACGACAAGTTTTTGCAAGACAGTTTCTACTCGCATAAGCTCAGTTTCTTTTACTCTTGCTTTTTTATGCGTTTTTGCTGCGCAGCGCTATAGCGCTGCTACAGTCAGCAAAAACGCAAATTGTCGAGAGGCTGTCTGTGTGTGTGTGCGTGTGTGTGTATTCGGAAAGCGAGTGCATTTTGTCACCCACTTTCATCCCAGCAACCAGGAAAACTGGGAAGCTGAAACTGGATATATGTTCCTACCCCGTGTGTCATCCTCCCGTTTTAAGATCTTCCCCCATACGCGCCAAAAACCCGCGTACGGGACCCTCAAAGAAATAT